AAAAAAAAAAAAAAAGTTGTATTCTCAAGAAAGCGTAAAAATAAAGAATCTCACAGAGACACCCCCACGTGCATACACACCCACACTCACACACACACTAGAACTATACCTTTTGTATTTCGGAGAAAATACACCACATTCTGGTCCAGGAACTCCTCAGGAACGGGAGTACAAAGCACATGGAGATATGTCTTTTCCACGATGTGCTTAACGGTTCTCTGGAACATGGGGAACCAAACATCAACGGGCTGAGATACATCTGCTCACCCAGACAACCTAACGTTCGGGTGCCCCGAGCACTCCTCTCAGTGCGTTCTGGTCCCCCCGGCCGACACGGGGGGGACCGCGCACCATGAAGGACCCAGGCTTGAACACTCAGTCTGACTCTGCTGTTAATTGGCCAGTGCAGCCACACAGGAATAAACCGACCCGGGAAATGTCCAGACTGAGCCCTTTCCTAGCTTGTAAATTGCAGCAAGCCGGCTTCCATTTGGTTTGGGGGGTAGGGTATATTCATGGAGCAGTTAGTCATTTCACTTAGCACAGGCCGGGCTAAATGCTCACATCCCAGCTTTTAAGCTCCACCTCTGGGATTTGGGAAAAGGTTAACTCGGCCGCAGGCCTGGGTTGTCCAAACTCTGCAGATCCCAAAGGTTTTCAGGCTGGCCCTTTGCCGGTTCCCAGGTGATAACCTCTGTTCTTGGAATGTCCCACCTGATGGACACCTGGGGTACAAAGATAGTTTAGACTTTGTCTACACCTGGGGTACAAAGATAGTTTAGACTAGCAACGTGATTGGTGGTGAATGCCTGGTTTTGTTGGCCTGGGGCCCTGGACACACTACATCGGTCTGACTTCCCGCGACCTAGAGACTGGCCCTTCATGCCCACGCGACAGACCCCCCGCCCCCCATTGAAACGCTGGACGCCGAGGCTTGAGTGAGCTTCCCTGACCAGCAAAACTTCCCGTGTGCTCTCCTACGTGCTGGGAGCAGCAGCACCCCCACGCCACCCGGAAGGAGGCTCGGGTCCCTTCTCTCCCGGACTCTGCTCCACGTACCTTTCTCTGTGTTGATTCTACGCGGCCTCCTCTCACTGAAATAAACTATAGCCTTGAGTATAAACGTTTTTCTGGGTCCTGGGAGTCATTCTAGCGAACCATCCAACCTGAGGGTAGTTGTGGGGACTCCCAACACAGGATTCTATCGTCTCCATTCCAAATATGTTCCTCGCATGAACTGTCACTTACCCAGACCCATCACAGGGTATGGCATTCCCGTTACCCCAGCAAGGAGGGGAAGGAGCCACGCCTACCTTGACAGGCAGGTCTTCTAAACTCTCTTTGTCGACTTCTTCATCCCCGATGCCTAATACAAGCTGATCTGTGGAATCGTTTCTCAGTTGCAAATTCTTGGCTGCAAAATATCGTTCAGGGTGCAAAATGAAATAATCAGAATAGATTTCCTACCATCGAGACCAGACCTGCATCTTGTACGGCAGCATTATTTCGTTCAATAGTCATGGTATCTAAAAGCTCCGTGTACATTTTGGACAAACGAATCGCAGCCTTGACGTACGTTATAATGATGAAAGCCGTTTGTATTTTTGCTGGGTGGGTTCTCGGTCGGAAATTTCACGTGTATGCATGTGTGTCTGTGCATGTTCCAGCGACAGTGTCCAGTGAGTGATTTCTCTGAGGTTTTCACTTAAAGGGGAGTTTTATTATTAGGATGAGAATTATAGCTAACATACTAGCACATACTCTATCTTCACTCTGAAACTCGAAACTTGTGGGGGATGAAAAGAAAGGTAATCTAAGTAAAACGAATGTATCTCTCTCAAGTCTGTTATCAGTGCGGATCTGGAACCCTCAGAACCTGTCACAGCCCTGAGAGTTTCTGAGAAACCCAGTAATTACAGGGAAGGGAGAGCTTTTCCCAAACGGTTTGGCTCTTGCTGCAAAAGGCACCGTGCGGAGCCATCGTGGCTTTCGAATCAAATCAACGTGTGGGGTCTACTGGTCTACTATTGATGTTCTCATCTGTAAAATGGGAATGATAACAGCTACTGGTCAGACTCGAGGATCCGATTATGGTGAGGTTAAGTGCCCGGCACACCCACCAGCAGAGGAAATGGTATAAAGCCAGCAGCACCAACGGGATTAGAGCACCAGTAACAGCCTGTAGCCAAAAACGCGCTAACAAATGCACCAAATAAATGCAGTGCCACTGAGCTGTATACCTAGAAGTGGTTAAAATGGTAAGTTTTGGGGCTCGATGAGTTAAGCATCTGACTCTTGATCTCAGCTCTGGTCATGATCTCACAGTTCGTGAGACCAAGCCCCGCTGTCAGCACAGAGCCTGCTTGGGATTCTCGGTCTCCCTCTCTCTCTCTGCACCTCTCCCCCCCGCTCTTACGTGCCCCCCCCCCGCCGTCTCTTCTTCCTTCTTTCTCTCAAAATAAATAAATTTGAAAAATAAACAAAAATTTTTAAATGGTTTTATGTATATTTTACCACAAAAAGAAAAAATACATTTAATTATTGATTTGGAAGTAATATTAATTTGCTTTGTTGAAAAGACCTCCCTGGCCTTTGTGTCCAAGCAGCGTCCTTCCACAGATGTCCTTCCTGTTCAGAGACTGACTGGTGCTGAAATGGATGTGTCTCTCAACAAGATTAGAGCCCCGCAGTAAATAGGGCTGTGGCCCTCATAGCCACCGTCTGTCTTGTCAAAATCCAACTTAGTCCTCCCTGAGGACTCATGGTATTTTCTAACCCTGTAATCCTCTCCCCTCAATCTGTACTACGGAAGGAATGACATTTTGCCTAAAATGAATGCGTCTGGAGGGGCGCCTGGGTGGCTCGGTCGGTTGAGCATCCGACTTCGGCTCAGGTCATGATCTCACGGTTCGTGGGTTCAAGCCCCGCGTCGGGCTCTGTGCTGACAGCTCAGAGCCTGGAGCCTGTTTCAGATTCTGTGTCTCCCTCTCTCTCTGCCCCCCCCCCCGCCCCCCGCTCATGCTCTGTGTCTCTCTGTCAAAAATAAATAAACATTAAAAAAAAATTTTTAAAGGTTAAAAATTTTAATAGAACTATCCTACGATCCGGCAATGGCACTACTGGGTATTTATCCAAAAAAGACAAAGACGCTAATATAAAGGGATACATGCATCCCTAGGTTTATGGCAGCAGTATTTATAATAGCCAAGATACGGAAGCAGCCCAAGTGTCCATCTGTAGATGAATGGATAAAGAAGATGTGGTGTATATATAGATACAATGGATGACTCGGCCATAAGAAAAAATGAAATCTGGCCACTTGCAACGACATGGGTGAAACTAGAGGGTACCATGCTAAGGGAAATAAGTCAGTCAGAGAAATACAAATACTATAGGATTTCACTCATCTGTGGAATTTAAGAAACATAACAGATGAACAAAAGGAAAAGAGAGAGAAACCAAGAAACAGACTCTTAACTACACAGAACACACTGATGGTTATGGGGGTGGAGGAGGGGGAGATGGGTGAACTAGGTGAGAGGTATGGAAGGCTGATCATCACCATATTATACACCTGAAACTAAGATAACACTGTACGTTAACTCTACTGACATTAAAATTTGAAAAACTTCATAAAATTTAATAAGATACATGCAGTTGCCCAGAAAAAGGACAAAATAAATCGTTTCAGGAATGAGGACAAGTAGAAAACTGAATTAGATAAACGGTAGAAATACACTAGGAATAAAATGAAACCACTCAACAACTACAAAAACACGAAAAAAAATTTTTTTAATGTAAAAAAAGAAAGGAAAAAAGAGCCACCCGCAGGAGAACCCAGCCTTAGCATGAATCTAAAGCCATCGCATCACTACAGGAAAAGCGGAGCCTGCAGACAATCAGGCGTCTCGCACGTTCAGGTGTGTTTCCAGCAACTTCTCCAGCTCACACATTTCTATCAGCAGTAAAATCCTCCACTACTGCCTCGGACTGGCCAGGAGAAACGGGGCGTGTGGTTTGCACGAGGGGAAGGAAGCCTGGGCTACACAACAGAGCGCACAGGTGTTGAGCTGTCACGGACGCCGCTTGCACAGGGACGAGGCGCCGGGGGACATGTACTATACCGGGTGGAATTCACAAGGTGACTGTATTCGGAAATAGGGTCTTTGCAGATATAAAAGAGGGGGTCCTACTGAAGAGGGCAGACCCTGGATCCCCTGACTGTCGCCTTTACCAGGGAAAGGACAGGAGGATTCAGACCCACAGAGGCAGAGCGGGGAGGGAAGCGGTCTCAAGGCAAGCGAGGCCCAGGCCAGAGGGGCCAGGCAGGTGCTCCCCGGAGCCGTGGGAGGGGCGGCCCTGCTCACAGCTGCGAGCTCGGCCCCAGAGCTCGGGGAGGCCGCCCCCCTGCAGCTGCCGGCCCCCCAGTCTGTGGTCGCTGGCTGCGGGCCCCCCGGGGCACGGGTAATGCGCCCCGAACGGCCAGCACCCACCTCTGTCCCCCATACCGGGCCCCAGCCTCCCTCCTCGCGGGGAGCCGCCCCCACGCGACTCACCCTCCAACTCCGCTGGCTGAGCCTCCGCCTCTGCCTCCTCGCCTTCCTCCTCCGCCTCGGGCGTCTCGCCGTCTTGACCGCCGCCAGCACGGAGGAAAAAAGTAGTAACACGTGTCTGCCCCACCACACCAGACACCTGATGCCCTGCTCCCCCACCCCACCGAGCGCCGCGGGGAAATGGCCTGCACCTGCGACAGTCCCGGGGAAGCGGTGGGGGGAAAGGTCACCGCGAGGACGCGGGAGCCCCTCCCCGCCTCCTGCCCTTGGGTGGGGCTCGGCCGGTGCAGTGACCGCCAGCGGCCCCTCCACGAACCCGAAGACGCTGGCGGGCGTGGGGGGAGGGGAGGCAGGCACCTGATCCTCTCGCGTTAAAACCGGGCCTCGGCGCGAGTTCCCCGGGCTCGTTACACCTGCCACCTGCCGGTCTGGAGCCTTCTGCCTCCCTGCTCGTCTCCCCCTGCCCTCCTGGACCAGCGCCAATTTATGAACCAACACAGTCGTACAGAAACGTTCCGGTTAGCAGAGACAGCTTCAAGTGGCCCGAAAGGAAACCCTGTGCAGACTCCCCAGGAGATGAAGGACGCAGCATGGTCAAGCGGTTCCACCGGTTCATCTCAGTCATCAACAAGCATAAAAAAGAGGCTCAACCCTGGGGCGCCTGGGTGGCTCAGCAGGTTGAGCCTCAGACTTTGGCGCGGGTCTTGATTTCGCAGTTCCTGGGATGGAGCCAGGCATCGGGCTCTGCGCCCACAGCTTGCAGCCTGCTGGGCGCTGGGTCTCCCTCTCTCTCTCGGCCCCTCCCCCACTCGGGCTCTCTGTCCCTCAAAAATAAACATTTTAAAAATACTAGCAAAATAAAAATTTTAGGTTAATCCTCAAAAAAGCCTTCACTTCTAAAAAAAAAAGAGAGAGAGAGGCTCAACTCCACTAAATATTATTAAACACGTAGTATAGACTAAGCAAGCGCATCCCTCTTTCGTCTATGGGATTGGCAAACGTTAAAAAGACCGACAGTATCGGATGTTGGCAAGGCTGTTGGCTGACAGGCACCTCACCACCGTTGGGTGTGGACTGGCAGGGCCTTTCTGGAGAGCAGTTTGGGCAGCCAGTGTAGATGCACACACCCAGGAAACCAGCCATTGTGCTTTTGTGAACCCGTGGCAAAGAATTACACAAAGTGTGCAGAGATGGGTGGGCACTGTTGCCTTGTTTGTGAAATAAAATACTATAGAAGGGTAAATGGTCTTTAATTAGGGAATGGGTAAGCGTGGTACATCAATGTGCTTAAAACCTGTAAAGTTAGGGGCGCCTGGGTGGCTCAGTCGGTTGGGCGGCCGACTTCAGCTCAGGTCATGATCTCATGGTCCGTGAGTTCGAGCCCCGCGTCGGGCTCTGTGCTGACAGCTCGGAGCCTGGAGCCTGTTTCAGATTCTGTGTCTCCCTCTCTCTGACCCTCCCCCGTTCATGCTCAGTCTCTCTCTGTCTCAAAAATAAATAAACGTTAAAAAAAAAATTAAAAAAAAAAACCTGTAAAGTTAGGTAGATCTATCAGTATTGACATGAAAAATTCTCAAGATATGTTTGAGGGAGAGACAAGTCACAACTTAATATACATGGTATGATTGACTTTAGAAACTCTAGACATCTATATATTAACATTATAGAAAGATATAGATGATAGATGATGGATAGATAGATGATAGATTGATTCAGGGCAAGATCTGGCAGGATACACTACCCGACTACCTACTAGGAATGGCAGTAGGACTTCAGGGTTAGTGAAGGGTTGCTTTTGCATGTTTTACTGTACGTAATTCTATGTCATGTGAGTTTTTTTTGTTTTCATGTTTATTTATTTTTGAGAGAGAGAGAGAGAGACAGAGCACGAGGAGGGGAGGGGCAGAGAGTGAGGGAGACACAGAATCGGAAGCGGGCTCCAGGCTCCGAGCTGTCAGCACAGAGCCCGACGCGGGGCTCGAACCCACCAACCATGAGACCAACCTGAGCCAAAGTCGGACCCTTAACCAACTGAGCCACCCAGGCGCCCCTGTCATGTGAATTTTTAAGGGAATGCCCTCCAGTACTACCTGTGTCATTTTTTTTAAATTTAAGTGAGTCATCCCATGATATATATACAGCCTGATTCCATTTTGTTATTTCAAGAAATACGCATTTAACTATTAGAAGAGCATCTTGGGCTAGCTGGCCACCACCCTCCTTCCTATCACCACCCTCACCAGCATCTAGTTGTCTGCGTTCATATAATTTTCGGCTGGGAGCAGAGAGAAGACTTGACCGGGGGCAGGGACAGAAATAGAAAAGTGGGATGAAGAGGCATGCCCTGGTCCCCCTCCAGGGCCTTTGGATGACCAGGGCCCCACAAAGGATCCAATAAAGCTGCCCAAGGGTCTTAATAGGCAGAGAGTGAGTGACCATGTGAGACACAGGAGCTGGGGAGGAGGCCTCTCCCCCCGCCTCTGCCCAGAACCCGACACCATTCTGGTGCCTCCAGTCTCGGCAGCTTTGAGTCTCCAAGGAACAGCATGCTCAGCAGAGGATATACTGGCATTCTCATGATGCAGTGACGGTGGAGAAGAGCCAGAAGAGGAGGGAAAGAAGGGGGAAGCAAGTCCAGAAACAGGTCACAGTCCAAGGGAGATTTCCAAGCACTCTTCCGGGGGTCCAGGAATTAACCAGGAGACCCTTTTAAGTGAGGCTGAGCTCTGCTTCCACATAGAACGGGGACATCCAGCCGGGG